AATAAACCTTTCCTTTCTCAACTTTGGACATCAGCTGACGTCTCAGCTGACGAATAAAAAGTAACTAAGACAGCCAACTCTGAATTAAGTGAAAGTCTTCTCTTTGACCGACTGAACAAAATCCAAACATTATATGCGTGTAGACAGAGATAGTTGCAAAAAGGAAGGGAGATCCAGTCCCTCTGCCCTGAAGAGACATATGACCCCATCCTGGCATTGTGGACAAAGTCTCTCTGATGGGGAGACCATTTACCTTCTCTGTTCCTTGAAGTCCACGGGTCTTCTGTGACTGTGTGATGAGCTCTCCATCATTTACAGTGTGGCCACAGGGTGCACCTGTTTGACTCAAGAAAGCCTTTGGACTCCTTATCAGGAGTCTTTCAGGTCTGCAAAGATGGGCTCAGTCAAAAGGACACCAAGATCTTCAGGTGGACACACTCACCAGGCAGCAGCATCTCCTGAGGCTTCTCCCCCACCTTCCCCTTATCTTTTTGAGCATGCTAGCTTGGTTTCCCCACTTGTCTGTTTCATACACCGCTTTGCCCAGAATGTTATGCTGACTCCAGAAAGAGCAGGGAGAGGAAATGCTATGCTTCCCCCAGCTTTCCTCCTCTGGTGGTTTCTTACTTCTTGACACCAGCAGTCAACTTCAAAGACCAAATGGATGTGAGACGAGATGGCAGGTTAGACACAGAGGTTCTTAGAGTTTTTAGGTTAAAACAATTGTTCCAGATGGACCACATGGCCATGGATTCCTCTGCGTAGGAGATTTCCTGAAGATATTCCCATCCCGAAAGCTTTTCTGAGGTATCCAGTGTGTCTGCTTTTCCAGCATTTTCTCCCGTCTGTGTTGAAGCCTGTTGTAAGATGGAGGCTTTGTCTCTCGCTCCTAATGTGATTCCTCACATTATCTGTGCCACTTTCTTCATTGACACTCACGCTTTGCCACTTGTCATTAATTTCTTCTGGAAATCATGAGGAGGGCTGAAACCAGTGAGGACTGAACAAATCCCCCCCCCATTAGAAATAGTGTAAATAGAAAGCATTTTTGAAAGTTCCTCAGAACTTTAAATTTTATTGGACTAACATTAGCCTTTTACAGAGCAATTGTTAGTGTTTTAGGCTTAGCACGAGGGTCTTCAAACCTCTGTGCAGTGTGTGGGTACCAATCCTTGCCTAGTTAGGAACCAGACCACATACTTGGAGGTAAGTGGCAAAGAAGAGAGGGTTTAATCTGTATTTACAGCTGCTACCTGTCACTTGCATTACCATCTGGGCTCCAGGTCTTGTCAGATTGTCAGTGGCATTAGATTCTCACAGGAGCATGAGGTCTACTGTGAACTGGCACTGGAAAGCTCCAGGTTGAATCATCCGGAAACTCTAGTCCCCACCCCCTGTCAGCAGAAATATTGTCTTCCATGAAACTGACCTCTGGGGAACGTTGGTTAGTGGTATCACTCTTAACTGTTTTACAACCCACGATCAGCACTTACAGTGCACTAAAATACAAAACGATAGGGACGAACATGTAAGTGTTCTCCACTGTTTAAAAGTTACCACGAGAGGAATGCAAACACTGAATACTGAAACATTGACAAGTACTGGATTTGAAGAGTTCTGAAGCCCATGAGTATAGAGGTATGACTGTACCCATTTTTGTCCTGCTGGTCACCCACTCATCCCACAAACTTAGGGGAAATGGAACTCCTTCAGGATGTTCTCCTGGAAATGCAATCATTTCTGTGTTTCCATACAATCTCTGTGTCTCTATTATGGTACTTACCAAGTTAGTGTAATCATCAGATACATGTGCACACCTCACCCCAAGAGTATTAGCCCCCAAACATGCAGGCTAAGGAGTAATCTTCATCTTTGAGTCTCAGCATCAAGTGTAGACAACAGCAAAAAGACCTTCAGTAGATATTTATTGGCTGTGTGGAGAATGGAGGGAAGGGTCTTTTAGGAAGAACTCAGAGATGTCCTTAAGTTTTTATGTGACTTTCACAGCCAATTTCCTATATGACCTTAAATGATTGCTTATTCTGTCTAGTTTTCTTTATGTGTCAAATTCAAGATGGCTCCCAGCTGGCAATCAAGTTTTCTGTTTAGAGCATCTATACTCCCAGAATTATTCGAGGCTTCTGTGTGCAACGTAGCTTTTGAGTAAAGACCCATCACTACCATATCCTCTCAGCACCCCGCAAAAGTCTAGGTCACATTGCAATGACAGTGGGGGCTCAAGCAAAAGTCATCCAATACTATTTATTGCTTGACTCATTGGGATGAGAAAAAGAAATAGTGAAACTCTTAGAAGCCCTTCTTTCCTGAATTCCCACCTGTGTTCTGTGAAGGCAGCTTAGTTGTAGTCTCAGGATAACAGCACCAAGCTACACTACGATCTGAGATAAGTGGGGAAACTAAAACTATTGAGTAAGAAGCCAGGAGTCAAAGGGTGGTGAACAAGCCATGCAAATAATAGACACCCAATGTTTGAAAAGACCTGACGATCGCTGCGATCAGTAGTAGCTTTACCCAGGATCAGAGGCAATTTTTTTCCAGTGGATCTTCTATATCTGCTTGATTATTCTAAGACGTTTAGCTCACCATATCCTGAAGCAGTCTGTGACAGTATTAGAACACAACAAAGGAACACTGGTTAAGTTCTACTCAAATGCTATTGACCCAGGAGTCTACTTTGCTTGAGAATAGAAACAGTCATGATCCCAAATGCTCAGATATTCCAACTATCAGGAGAACGTGTCCCACAGACAGACTTTCTGTTTTCTAATCCTGAAGCAAAACCATGTTCACTGTGCCACTTGGGCCAGATACTGAGCCTCTCAGTCCCACTAGGCTCAATAGAAAATGAAGGTAATTGTATTGAAACGGAAATGTTGTTATAGTGCAGTTATGAGATTCAAATGAAGTGATGCTTGTGAAATGCTGAGTACAATGATCAACACAAACTAATAATGTTTATTGGGTATTTACAACATCCAAAAGCATATTAACTGCCATTCACAAGACCTTTTATCCTCTGCAAAGAAACAATTAGGACAGACACAATATCATTACTTGAAGCCACCAAATTTATGACTATCAGGAAAATAGGGGACCAAATTGGGATTCAGAGCAATCAGTTTCAAGTCTCAGGTCTGCCCCTTCTGCTACCTGGGTTCCCTATTTAAGTCACTTTGATAATCATCTATATGAGAATTTGCTATTATGTTAGTGTTGCTTCCTTTTAAGCATAAATGGCTCAGTCTCTTGGAATTTCCAAATGGATTAGGTTATATAAATGACATTAAAACAAAGCAGTAGGATAATTCAAAAGCTTTTCCAAATGTATGCACGTGTTCCTCCCGAGAAAATCTGACAAGCATCTTCCTTTTTTTATTAACTTTCTCCCCAATGCATGCACATCAAGTAAAAATTCCTGCCTTTATGCAGGTATGGTAGAGCACTCCTGTAATCCCAGCACTTTAGGAGGCTCAAATTTGACCCCAGGCTCAGTGATTTAGCAAGCGACAAATTAAAAAAGAAAAGGGCTTGGAATGTAACTCAGTGGGAAGTCCTGAGTTCAATACCTAGCACCCCACCCCATCCCTACACACACAAATTCACTGCCCTCCATGGTGTCTAAGTTTCCTCTCCTGATTGGGTCTTAGCTCATTATGCTAATGAAAAACAATCAGTGGAAGTTACTGCTCAGAAATCATCTTGCACATCTGCTCATCTGTCAAAAAAATAAAAATACTACATGGAGATGATCAGTGGTATAATGTTTCGTAAGTTCCTACTGTAGCATATATAAAAATTAAACTAAATGAAAGTTGACAGGCAGGAAAGTAAAAGCACAGCACATCAGGATTGAAACCCTTCCCTTAAAACACTGTGTACACACTGAACCATGATATATTCGTATTATCCACTCCCGCCAAATTGTACAATCATTAAACCCATAAAAATTCCACTTGTCCATAGAGTCTGCACTCGTTTTCTCCTCTAATCCACCTGTGCCTCCAGGGCTCAGCCCTTGTCTTCTTACCCACTTCTATTTCACACCTCTGCCCCACACAACCTCAGTGAGGAAAGAAGATTTGCAAATATTGGAACAAGGAGGCTGGATCACTTCTTACCTCCGGTTCCCCTAAGGCTGTCTCTCTGCCCCATATTTCCTTGGCTCCCGCCTCCAAAGACTGCAGAAGGAAACAATAGCTGTCAGCCCCCGCCAAGCTGTGTCATCCTGAGATGCAGCTGAATAATCAATTACTGGGTAAGTGTATCTGAGCTACCCTGGCTGCCTTCCATGGGGCTCACAAGATCAAAGTCTACAGGAGCTGGGGCTCACCCTTCCCCGCCATCCTGCTCCTTAGCCCCAGCTGAGAGACATTCTCAGCCACTTCACCAGCTGGCCTGGCTTCATCCATCCCTCCAACAAGGTGTCTAGGGAGAAGGTCCCTTGTTCCCTTAAAAAACGGGACCTGTTGGAAAGAGGAGGAAGTACAGACAGCAACACTTGGCAACTTTGTGATCTGGGGCAAGGACCAAGGAGCTAGAAGACAGATACCTTGAACAATGTTTTGTTTTCCTTTTGGTACATCAAGTGGCTGTATTAAAATAAAGCACATAGAGTTAAACCTTGAGGACTCCAAGGAGAAGCCAGAATGTTGAATGTCCTCATGGTGTCACATCCCCAGATCCCACCCAGTGAGAAAGGGCGTTCGCTTTTGGTTTTCCTAAAAGAAAAGTCCAAATATGATGAAGTTCAACAGAGGCCTGTCGCCAGCAGCGGGAGTAAGCTGGGAAACAGTTTAAGGCACAGAAGAATTCTTGTGTGTGAAGGTGTCCAGTTGTTTTGAGTGTTGGTGTGGATATTTATGTCACTTTGGGGAAAATGATGGCACAGGTGGAATATCTGATATAAAAGTGGTTGGCGGGCAGATCAAACAGTGGGATGGAATGATTCACTTTAAAAACAAACTTTGTTTATATAACAGGCCAAGCACCGGATGCAAAGAAGCCCCCAAAAGACAGCATTTTTGTAAGATATGGATTGGCACTTTGTTCTCAGAAAACACTGAAGACTCAGGCAAATGGGCATGAAGCAACCAGATAAACAAGTCCCCAGATTAAGTGATTCAGTGGAGAAGAGTCATCCCTGAGTGGTCAAATCTGCAAATGTAGAGCTACGATTGTGTACTTCCCTGATGTCTGCAACGGAGGTGAAATGAGGTAAGTACTACTTACAAGCTACTGGGATTTTATTGTTTATTCTAGGCAGTAAGGCAAAGTGACAATATCCAGCAAACAGGAATATATATTTAGGAAGAGTATCAGCAGTGGTCTTTACTTGACAGTATCTAATAAAGGTACTAAGCAGGAGGCTGCTTCCTGGGAGCAAAATATTCTAAAATTAGATCATAGTAAGTACTGAACAGTCCTGCAAAAATATAAGGTGTGATCAAAATGTATAAAGTGTGTTTTTTAATTAGAGTAAAAGGCACAATGCCATTAATTCCTCTCAAAACCCTTCCCCTCCTTTCAAGCATATTTATCTCACCCTTCTTGCCAGTTTTCAAAACAGTTCTGAACGTCCTCTTCTGTGGGTGTCTTTGGCTGCACCATCCTGAATGGTGCCCAATGTCCTGAATTGGTTCAAAACTTAGATCATTCCCCTTCTTTTGGACTTTGGGGAGGAGCCAGAAGTTGCCGAATCCAGACCTAGTGAATAAAGCGGATGAAGACATACTGCAATGTTTTCACAAGTCTGCCTCTGCCGTAGGAGGCCACTGTTCACTCTTTTTTTCCACATTAGCAACATTTTTAAAAAAAGTTTATTTTGGCTCACGGTTTCAGTCTGTGGTCAGCTGACTTCAGGACAGAAACAGGATGGCGGAGGGCTATGCTGGAGGAAAATGTGCTCAATTCATGGTAGTCCGGAAGCAGAGACCAAAGAAGGGAGGAGCCAGGGAAGGAGAAACATTCTTCAGGTCACACCCCAGGGACTTGCCTCTTCCTTCTAACCGGGCCCCACCTCCCAGCAGCCCTTTCGGTGGCCCTGAGCTCTGGTGGATCAATACTCTGGTGCATGTAGTGTCCCCACGACCCAATCAGCAGACACCTCACCTCTGAACACAAGGCCCTTTGGGGGGACATTCTAGAGCTAAATGATGACATCTTGCATTGTGTTTTCCCAGCTCAATCTAGCCTGATTTTCTCAAAAATCTTCCTTTGATTTTTCTCTATTTTTCCGTTCCTAATTGTTTCTCACTTTGATGTTTATTATGACATTTGTGATGTTTAGTTTTTACTGTTTGAATCACTTCTGGTTTCTTAAGGTAGCTGCTGAAGTGATCAGTGATCTGGGACTTCATAAAACTTGCTCCTAGCTGCACTTAGTGATAAGAAATTTCCCTTTAATGTTGCTTTAGCAGCAGTGCACAAATATTTCATTTTCATTTTCATTCAACTCAAACCATTTGATTCTAGTTTCCTTTTTAATTTCTTTGCTGGTTAATGGTTTATTTAAAAGTGTGTTGTTTACTTTTCAAATATTTCAAAAGTGTCCAAATATCTTTCTGTCATTAATTGTAATTTAATGTCATTGTGATCAGAGGATAGACTTTGATTTCTTTTCTGTTTTTTTTTGGTACTGAGGATCAAACTCATGACCTCGTGCTTGCCAGGCAGATGTTTATACCACTGAGCTGAATCCCCAACCCCTAAGACTTTGATTTCTAATGCCATCCTATTGTAAGCAGAAGATGTACTTGAGTCTTTTAAATATATTGAGATTTGTTTTATCACCTATAATAAAGTCTATCTTGGTAAAAGTTGTATGTCATCTTGAAGCTGTCTTCTGTTTTTCATGTTAAGGGTCTACATATCAGTCAGGAAAAATTAGGTAATAATCTTATCAAATCTTCTATATTCATATTAAATTTTATCTTGTCTCTATAAATTATTGAGCAAGTGGTATTTAAATCTCCCCTAATAATTTTGGATTTCTCTTGTTGCACTTACAGTCCTCAGTTTTTGCTTTATCTGCTTTGATATTCTCTTGTTAGGTGCATAAAAAGTAAGGTGCATAAAAGTCTATCTTGTGATAAACTGACTTCCTTGCCATTACCAAATGACCTTTTTCTCTGGTAATTTCTTATGGTACAAATGTATTTTATTTGATGTTGATACAGCCATTCCACCTTTTTTTTTTTTTTGACTAGTATTAGCATGGCATATATTTTATCTCTTTTATATTTAATGCATTTTCCTGCAGGCAGCATATATTTAGATCTTGCTTTTTTTTTTTAATCCAATGTGACAGTCCCCTGCCTGGTGGCATTTAGAACCTTTACATTTAATAGTTTATTAATTTTAACAAGTTTAAAGTTTATCATTTGCTATTTCTTTTCTCCTTGTTGAGTCTGTTCTTTGTTCTTTCACAATTTTTCTGCCTCACTTGGGATTAAAGGTTCTATTTACAACTTTTTTGATCGTTTGTTAGGTGTAAGTTTTGTATATTTAGTGGTTGTAAGTAGAGCCTTACCATGTACCTGTAACATCACAATCGACTGTCAAGTGATACCTCACTATTTTGCCTGTAGAGTAAGAACGTGATAGGAACCTGTTTGATTTCTCTGCTGTCTGTCTCTATGCTCCTCTTGCCATACATGCTCACTGTAAATCTTCTATAAAGCTGATATATGTATTTATTAGTTACCAACCACAATGAAATAAGTTCGAGGCAACCCCGAGCAATTTAGCGGCTTAGCAAGACTCTTTCCCAAAATAAAAATATAAAAAGGCCCTGAGTCCATTCCCCAACACTGAGGCGAAGAAAATGTTACCGTTTCTGATGTACCCCATTTTCTTGTATAGATCCATATTTCTATCTGTTACTATTTTTCTTTCTTCACTAAAATTTTAACACATCTTGCGTTTTGTGTGTGCTTGTAATGATATTTTTCAGCTGTGGTGTGTCTCAAAAGGTGGGTTTTTGTTGTTGTTATTATTATTATTATTTTATCTGTTTGAGATAGGATCTCACTATATAGTTAAGGCTGGCCTTGTAACCCTGGCCACCTCTAACTCCAGTGATCCTCCTGTCTCAGGGATTCCTGCAGGGATTACAGGCATGTACCACCACGCCCATCTTAATTTTTGAAGTATATATCCCTTGTTACAACACTGTAGGTTCGATGTTTTTTTTCTCCTAAATTCTTTACAGATAATTGCTCCATGTTCTTGCTTGCATTCTTTCTGATGAGAATTCTGCTTTATTTTAGGTTTTCTTTCTGTTACATGCCCGCATCCACACTCTAAGGCTTTTAAGATTTTCTCTTTTGTCACTAGTGTTAAGTAGACTTTCATACATTTGAGCAAATTTTGGTTGTGTTATGCGTCTTAGATCTGTGGATAAATGATTTTCATTAAATTTGTCAAAACTGTTGGCCACTATTTCTTTAAATATTCTGTCTTCTTTATGTATCCCCTTTATTTTAGAATTCAAATACTAATATTTTAGGCTGCTTTAAATTGTCCTTTAGTTCACTGATACTGTTCTTTTTTATTTTTTTCTCTGTGTATGTTTTACTTTGAATAGTTTTTATTTCTATCATTCCAAATTCTTCTCTTCTGTAATGTCTAACCTGGATTCAATCTCTTCCAGTGTGGTTTTCATCTTAGCCATTATAAATTTCATCTCTAGATGTTCAGTGTATTTTTCGAAAAAAGTGTTGTCTCTGAGTCAGTGTATCATGTCAAAGCTTAGCTTTTGAACATCCAGAATGTAGTTACAGTAACTGTTTTGATGTCCTTGTCTGCTCATTCTCACATCTGTGTCTGCCCTGGGTCACTTCCAATGCACTGACTTTTGTCAATTTGGGCCTGGTTTCTAGTTTCATGACATGCATGTCCACTATCATTTGTGTGCTAGCCACTGTGGGCTGGCTTTGTTGGGTAATGGACATTTTTAATACTCCTATAAACATTCTTGATATTTTTTTTTCTGGGCTGTCATGGAAAGTCTTGAAAACAGCTTGGTTATTTGGAGTCTCTGTACTTGTGATTTGTTAGCTCCAGGGAAGCACATGGTCCAGGATTGGTTACTCTCTGCTACTGAAGCAAGAGCTTCCTGAGGGTTCCACCCTACTCCCTAAGAAATATCACTTATAGATTGGGAAAAAGGACTTATTCTTGACAATACTAGATAATTTTCTCTTTAATATCCTTTTGGATGTTTCCTTGTCTTATTTTGCATTGCTTCCTTGTGTGCTTGTGCCAAGAATACACTGCTGAGTGTTCAAGCTGGTGCATGTGATCATCATCGTCCTGAGAGCAGCTCTTTCCTTTTCAAGACTGCCCCGTATACTCTGCCTACCAAGATCTCCCTTGATACTTAGTTCAACTCTTCAACTCAGAGAATTTGTGAAGAATCACCTGGACTTCCCCCACCCCTGCAGCACAGACTAAAAATCCTTTTGAAGAATCAAGTTGGAACCATTGTGATGCTGATCTAGTCTCATTTCTACCACTCAGGGATTTCTGTTGTTTATAGTTTGATGGGCAATACCTTAAAAACCAGTTTCCTGTATGTTTTGTCTGGTTTTGTTGATTGGTTTATTGCAACTGGTAGGTTAAATCTTACTAATCCATCTTGTCCAGAACAGAAATACTCTTCCCAACATTATTTAACCTTATCATTCAGTCTTTGCAGTACTTAACCTTAGCCCACTTTCCAGAAGAGGGTGTTGCAGAGATAGACAGCAGGGTTTTCTAAACCCACACAGATCAATCACCCAGATTCATCCTACCTTTGATTCTTGAAGATATATGATTGTCCATATGTCTGCATAACTTTCTCTGGTTCATATTCCCTTGACTTAAAATACACTAGAGGAGCTGGGTGATGGAGAGAGATAGGGTGGAAAATAAGACCACATAGTACTGCCTGGAACCAGGGCACTTCCCCATTCCTTTGGGATGTGAAAATTAAGAAAGGGTGGATAGAAACATATGGTACAGATATAAGGACCACACCAGTAAGAGTCATCTTTTTTTTTTTTTTTTGCTCCCTGGCAACCACTGTGCCAAATTGGAAGTGTCATTGAGGATTGTCTAGTCCAGTGGGTCTCAAAGTTGAAGACAAACTTTTGACCATAGAGGATGTATAAAGTCTTGAGTGATGAAGCACAATAAAATTGAAAAGTGTTTGGAATAGACTGAAAAGTAAT